GGTGCTACCACACAACATATGGTAATTTGAGCAAGTATTTTTTTGGGCACGTGCCTCCACCCCCCGCACCCCTAGACACCCCAGTGGGTAATGATTGTTAATGTGGATGATAAATACTAAAGTTTAATTTGAAGAAACACTACAACCAGATTCTAAAAAGTGTTTAGAAAAAAACGAAGCTTTGATTAAAACTTACTCCTTATTGACCCAGAGAGTTTACCCAAAGCTTCTATCAGCTGCATAGACTTGCCAGCAAGAAGGACTTGTTCAACGATGGGCTCTAGGAAAGTGGGCACACCACTGTGAGACGACGATGCCACATCAACACCATTCTGGCAACGAGTCTGAAGGATATACCCCTCTGACCAGAACGTTTCACTATCAATTTCAACTTCTTCATTTCTACAGGAGTGGAAAACGTGTTTAAATTTAGATACATTCATTTAGGCATTTTTATTGACTTGAATCATATTAAATATTCATATACATATCTTTAGTTTTGTCTACATGATTACTTTTAATTCTCAATTATAACAATTACCAACTAAAGTTACATTTACACTAGACACGATTACGACACATCGACATATCATCGCGTAGTTTATACACTTCAAAACTGTGCGCATCTGTATTATGTTGCTGTCGTGTCTAGTGTAATGTAGCTTTAGGGAGCAAAGCACTAAAAGCCTAAAAAAACACTATTCTTTTCATTTTTAATTGACAATGCTGCTGCTGATTATTTATTTATTTAAGCACACAACACATGCACCAAGGATTGTCAATAGCGAAATATATCATTGTCCTACTTGTAGATGTTACACACATGATGCTTTGCACAAACTAAATCTCAATATGAGGTTTAGGCAGTGGAGTTGTTTCAGTAGTGAGAAACAAATCCTGCAACACTGATAGAAATTGAATCCAGGACCCTGGGACTGGAAGGCAAGCATCCTAACCACCAAGCTGTTCAACTCTACTGATGTTACTCTGTTGCTGACGTCGCTGCTGCTACTGATACTGCTGATTCCATTGTTGCTGCAGGTGTACAATTCAGCTTTGTGTTTACATCTTTGGTTTTGTGAATAAAGTTTGTGGTTCCTGGTTTAATTTTTTTACATCTTTCTTTCATGTGGTGTCATTATGTTGAAAGAGGTGAAAGAGATTTGAAATAATATAATTGAAAATAAAGTAAATAACTGAAGGTACCTTCTGATCAAGAATTCCTGTGAGTGTGTTGGCAGAGTTCCCTGTGAGATCCAAGTATCAATGATGTTCAGATATGGTTTAATAGACTTTAACCACACAGACAACATAATATTCTTCTGTAAATGAAAAAAATTAGTGTAGAGCAGTATTGATTTACTTTCATGAAATCGCGATTATCTCAGCTTTGTAAAATCTCAGCCTCGAAATTACGTAAATCTCCAAAAGTGAGTCATTTTTATTTTACTGTTACAGGTCACAAATTGTGATTAGAATAAAGTGTTTGGTACCATTGTAAAGCTAAGATGTTTGTAGTTCTTGTAGTATTCACTACATGTCAATATGATCACATACCCACTCCTAACAAGCTTCGGAAAAGTGTTAAAATTTGCTAAAAAGTCTGGCGGTGGCTGATACTATTTTTTCAAACCCCTGATTGTTAAACAAAAAAAATATGATATTGGATAGAGAATAAAGTTTATAGAATCATTCTATCCTTAACTGGTAATTGAGGAGATGGAATCTGAGGGAATGAATAATATAAAAAAGGTACTGTAGCTTACGATTCTTTGCCCCTCTAATCCTATGGTGTCTTTTTTTAATAAACTATCATACAGAACCTCAAGAAGGTGGCAAGATCTCTGTGCTTGTGGGCTCCCTGAGGAACAATTTAAAATCCCAAGACTGAATACAGAAAACAGGGAGTCAAGTTCAAGGAACATAGGATGTAGTCTTTGTTCAAGCTGTGCCAAGGTTATTGTAGTATCTGAAAAAACAAAATAGAAGTCGCTACTGTAATTATAAATATAATATATAATTTTCTGAATTGCAATAACAAGATACAAAATGTCTTTGATATATTAGAAGGCCTTGAATTAGAGGGTGCAATGTATATTCAGGAGAAAATTATCATCTGTACTTTTCACTAACTATTGAAAATTCATGACAATTTTTCTCACAACAGACTTATTCACACCTTGGCTAATAATCTCCCTTTCAATCCTTGTTAAATCTGCTTGTAGTTTCTGTAAAACCTCTGACATTGACCAGGCATAGGCCTGATATGTTTGACTGGGTCTATCATCACCCATCGTAATCTCAGCTTTTGTGACTTTCTCTGTAAATATCTGCATTTGTAAAACCATACTACCATATTTGGCAAACAGGTGAAGGAAATTCTGTAAACTCAGCTGTAAAAGAGAAAAATATTTAACCATTATGTTTGTCTTTGTCACATTGTCCAAACGATCATTTTTTCTGTGTTTAATACCCTTGGTTGGTTAATATATTTAAATTAATTTACGTTTACATTACAAAGATCTACATCCTGCAAAGGACGTTAAAATCCATAGTGTGCGCCTTGATTATAGTTCATAGTCCTTATCCGAGAAAACTTATTCCACCACCAGAACCATAGGTGACTGTGCAGCTCTAACCAGCGCCAATATTGGCTGTATTTTGAAGGTCCCCGTCTTAATCGCTTGGCATTCAACACCCCTTGATATGTATATTTGATAGTTTGTATAAACAATGATTCACATAAAGTGCAAATCAGTTGTGATAGATACATACAAATACAAATACAAACATTCCTTATTTGTCAAATATTTATTTATTTATTTATTAAGGTAAAAAACGCAAAACAAAAAAATAGCCAAAGGCTGAAAACGTTTGTTTACAATCAACAGGAAAACAGGTCAGGTGGAAAAATACATATTGAAATATCAAGACATTCAAATAATTACATAAGAAAAGTTAAAATTAATATCATATTACAAAATATATATATAAATATATACACCATATTATTATAATTAAATTTCAAAAACGTCAATTAAATTAAAATTAAAAATACACATAGCCGGAAATATAAAATTAACAAACATAAATTGAAAACAAGCGACAAGAATGAACCCTCATGAAGCCCTAAGGGGTTTGTAAAAAAAAATTAGAGGGGCCTTAGCAAAATGTATAAAAGAAAAAGTATTAATTTAAAATTAATTGAATATATAATGTAAGAATAAAAAATGTATGTTTTATACAATGAAACATGTATGGGATCAGCTAAAAATGTTAAACATTGATATAACCCCTCTATTGATGTATTGTAACAATTGTATACAAATAATGAATGTTTATGAGTTCAATGGGAAGAATATTTTCATGAGTTGAAAGATGCCGAGTTGAATGGAACAGTCAATCTTTCAACAAATGAAAATATTCTTTCCATTGTACGAATACAAAACATTCATTATTTGTTTTATAACA